CTTGAGTCACCAAGCAAGCTGGTTGTGACACTAGGCTCCTAAGGTTCCACTTCTAATTCTAGTTTATACTCAATTGAACAGAATTCCACCAAATACTCAATTCCTGCTATTTGTATCGACCTCAACAAGGCCTTGAGGGATACTACAATTTTCACTAGTGATGGGTCTCCCTGTAACATCACACGTCTATCCCCAATCTCAAATGCCATAGTTAAATTCTTCCAATTCGCACATACGTCCCCAAGTGAACTCAACCAGGATACTCCTAGTACCATATCTGCTCCCCCAAAATAAAAAGGAAAATAATTTTGTTGAACCATAACTCCATGTATCTCCATTTGTACTCATTTATATATCTCTTCCCCCTTTACTGTCACCCTGTTACCTACCATCACTCCAAAAGTCTTTCCCCTTTCAACCAATATCCCCAATCTGTGCATCAACTCATGTAAGATGAAATTATGTGATACCTCACTATCCACCAACAGATAACTTCTTCCTTTCCAATGTGTCCTTTGATTTTCAGAATCTTGTCTGATGTAATACCAACAATTAAATTCATTGAAAGAGCCAAGGAGTTACCTTCGGTTATGGGTTCCTCATTAACGACAGGTATGAGTTCTTCTTCTTCTGCTTCTGCTTCGTCATCCTCCCATGCAAGAAGAATCTACAGAGACTTGCTTTTGCATCGATGATTTGGGCTAAATTTTCCATTGCATCTAAAGCACAGACCCCTTTCCCTCTTATATTGTATTTATGCCATTGACCGCCGTAAGAAATTCTCCTCTCTAAAGCTAGATGCTGCCATCTCAAATGGTTTCTCTCTCCTGTCGAGTGGTTTATTTGTCCAAGAATACCCTTGTTCTGGCGTTTATGTTGAGTTTGGCCACCAACTTGGTCACCCAAATTCTGGGCTTAAGGACACCCAAGTGTAAGACTCCCTTCCACTTTGGGCTTTAGCAAATTTGAGTTTACCTTTATCCAATACCCAATTTCTTTCTTCAACCCAGTGGGCCTACTCCATCATCCCAATTAAGCCATTGGGCTTCATTAGGCGCAATTCAACCCTAATTTCCTCTTTCAACCTATTAATAAAAATGCTAATTAACATCTTCTCCCCTAACTCCTTCAAAAGTGCAGTATGAGCCTTAAACTCCTCTCGGTATTCCATCATCGACGTCGACTGCTTCAAGGCCACCAGAGCCTCATAAGTTGTCCCTTGGAAAGACGGTCGAAATATGGCAATCAAGGATGTCTTAAAACTCTCTAAGAGTGGATTGGTGCCCAAGACTCCAGCCATTAGTACCAATTCAAAGCTCTTCCTTCCATGCACACGATGACTCCCTCCATCATTTCTGTTTCTTCATATCGGTTGATAGTGAAGTAACGATCTACCCTGAAGGTCCACCCAAAAGGATTGTTACCATTAAAGATCAACAACTTCAGCTTTTTGATCCTCTTGTCCGCCTTCATCAACTTCTAGCTTCGTTGTTGTCATTATTTTGATTTTCCGATGATGATGATCTCTCTTTCTCACGAGTTCATCTCTCATCCATTTCTTCTCTTAATCGCATTAACTCTCTCATTTTCGTCAAGTATTCCTTAACACTACCCAAATCGACCTTCATCATACTCATATCTTCCTTCACCGTTTTTATTTCTTTTTCAACACTATCCATTATGTTCTCCATTTTTTATTTTACCATTCCCCAACTTAGCTCTTATACCAATTTGATATAAACCTCAACCAAAACAGCAAAACCAGCAACTCAAACACTCACAAAATAGTAATATCAACAATACAAAATTAATAAGAAACAATTGGATATGAATTATATTGGTAAAGAGTAGAACAAGGAAAAGAAATAAAGAAGAACAGTAATGAAAAGCACGTTCACTAGCAGTTCGAGTAGCTAGTGACCTCCCAGCAATAATCCCTTGAAAAACTAGCCGAATGAATCATGAAATTAGTCCCCTTTATAAGCACCCTCGACTCCTCACTGATACCTATAATATCAAGACACATGTGCCTAAGATTCTAACTAATTCCCATTGCCTTTATTCTCCCAAGTGGTTATTCTCCCTTGCTTGCTATACCGCTTAGTAACAGGTGATCTATCAATAAATCAACACTCACCTATCGTTTCTCTATATTCAACAATTCCATTTGACCATGAGAATTTCTTCTTTGAGGAATTTCATCAAATAGTTTTCATGTTCAAGACTTGAAAAGCAATATCAAGAAATTAACTCTTAACTTGGCCAATACATCAAATTAAATGGAGTTTAGCCAACCTTCCACGATGACAATGTAGACCACTTCAGTGGTTGAGAACGTTGCAAGGGCCCTTTGTTTGAAAGACTCACTCAAGTATTATGGCGAAATGGCGATGCATGAGCTAAACTTAGAGGGGGGAAAAATTACGCATTGGTCCAAGCCCACTTTGACAAACATCTTTTAATTTTTCATGGACTACCCGTTAGGTACCTCCGCTGATGTTTCAATTAAAAATAAATTGCATCGAAATGTATAAAAAATGCCCAGGTATCTCCACTAATTTTTTTACTTTCCTCCATAATCACCTTTCAGCTTTGTTTTCTAACACTAAAACATTAAAAGCATGGAGAAAATGATCATTTCTGTAGTATATTATTTTAAAATAAAAAATCAAAGGACAAAAGTAGTTGGACATCAAATAGGATAAGACTAATTTTTACAATAATCATAATGTCTACTCTTTTTTTTTCATCATTAACATAACCCATCGTTATCCTTGTATCAATGGTGGCTGCCTTCTTAGATAAAGGGTCGGCTGTCACTAAATTTTTTCAACTGTCTCTAAATTTTTTCAACATTCCTCTTCCATCATCACAAACATAATCAATCTTGAGAGAGAAAGTGATAGACAGGGGACCAGATCTGAAACGATGGCTAGCCATGGTTTGCTTATTACAAATATGGTTGTCGATCCATGGACATTCATTCATCTTTGTTAATTCATGAAATTGGGCATTAGACAAACTGATCAATTTTATCTTTCGCTGATTTAAATATGATATTTGTGTTCTCTCTCTCTTTAAGCTTTTACAAATTTTCGATATTGTTGATTTTGGTGATAATTTGTGGTTATATGATGCATAGATGCCATAGAACATATGTATGCATGCATGTGTCTGTTTTGTTACACAAGTAAGTTATCTTTGCTCTAAAATTGATTATTATTTTTTTTTATTTTTTTTTTTTTTTTGTTTGCTTCATTTCTGCATTCCAAGTCCAACCTTTCTTCCACATCGGCATACCCTATTCCCAAACTTGATCACACCTCCGTTGACACCAAATTTAAATGTAGCTATGCCTCAGTAATTGAAATTCAAGATTCACTCTTTTTTTTAAACAATTCTGGAGAAACTAAAAAGAAAAAGGGTGTAAAGAAGGCTTTTTTGTTTAGAAAAATAAGTGCCTTTGAAATGAACATTCCCAATTATCGTTGGTGTTCATGCTGAAATCTGATTGCCAAGTGAATGGTTTTTTCCTGTCTAGAATTTACCGAGTCAGTAAATGGAATCCATATAGAGTAAACGACTTATTCCCACCCAAATAATGGCTTAATAATACTTCTCATCCAAAACGTTTCAAAATACAACTTTATTACCCAAAACACAATTCTATTAGTAAATTTTATTGTAAGAAGGGCAGAATGGTCAAAATTCTATTATAGGTAAGGGCAGGATGGTATTCACCTCCCACCGTTCGCTAGCCATCGTACAATTAGGGTTTCGCTGTTCTAGGCCAAATTTCGGCTGAATTCGGTGGCAAAAATTCAATTTGGCTCCACCACCTGAACCACCAACCTGTACTCTAAAAACCCCCTTTAACATTGACACTTGGTAGCCCCCCGTTCGCCTGCCGCGACTTGCGCATATCGCCACAATTGGGTTGATTTTTTTCAAGCTAAAGTGGTTTTGATTTGATAATTTTTTTAATTGATTTGGTCTTTGATTGTTTGGTGCTTATTTGGATTTGTTTTGTAAGATGTTTCCTGTGCATACCAAGTGCTTGACATTTTGTCCTACTTAGATTTCCCCTGCCTCAAGTGTGCGACCAGTACGTTCTATCCCTCCCAATGTGCCCCAACGCATAGCTGCTTTGCCGTCACCACCACCAGATTTGGTTATTTTCCTTTTGCAGCCATCGACGATTGAGGAGTGATTATGGATAAGGGTGAGAGGGGTTTTGTTGGGCGGATGCCAGTGAGTTGAATGGCGGCGACAAGGTCAATTTCCAATGTCGAAATCAGGCGAAATTCAAGTTAAGGCGTGCGAAACTTTGATTTGCAGTGGCTGACGATTGGAGATTGATCTTTAGTAGGGATATTTTCGTCTTCACAATTAATATCATTATAATTAACGTAAATTATAAATGGAACATAACGTTTAGTTAATAAAGTTGTATTTTAAAACATTTTGGGTAGAAAAGTATCATTAAGTCATTATTTGGGTGGAAAAAAAAGTCTTTTACTCATCCATATAAGTTAAAGTACTATTTCGTAGCCCCCTTGATTTATCCCCTTTTTGTATGTCAATGGATTACATGATACATGTTAAAATGACATATAAGTCTTGCAATATCATGATTTTCATCTTTCAAACTATTTTTAGAAGTAAATAAGTAAATACTGGTCCTTCCAGGGGGGAAAAATTAAGGAAGAAAAGACTTTGCTATATATAGTTTTAAACTTTTATATAAGGCCACGTTCAAGTTTATTACAATTAAAATGTCACAATGTACAATTGTAGAAACTACAAGGCAATTAATAAATTTATTTTTAGAAAACTGAAACAAATCAATGTAACTTATGTATAAAATAAAGAAGAAAGAAGAAATTTATAGAGAAACTAAATAAATGATCACGGTGGCTGTTGATCACTGGGCGTCAAGATGGTTGATGGTGTAAACTGAGACAAATACAGGTCAAGTAAAGCTCGTCCTCTAGGTTGTGAAGCGGGAATGGGACTATTACCTGCCAACATTTTATAATAATCATTCATAATTTGTCACATAGACAATTCACAATGGCTATCGTTAAGGATAAAGGTGGGGTTTGGAATATCCATCATTATTACGTATTCGGATTTTTTTGGCTAACCTAATTGACGGCCTGCACTACATCAATACCTGTGGGATAAAATTCAGTCCATGGGGACAAGTTGACGTCAATCACTTGTCCAATCTCAGGACGTTGCATATTATTGTCCTCCTGCAACCCAACTCTTGGCCTTATCTGCTCATAAATGTTTATGTTTTCTCCATCAAAGGGATTTGAAGGCGGCTGTAAGATTTCAGGTCGATCTCTGAAAAAATAAGAAGATTGTAGCATTTGAATTTGCACACAAGAAGTGAAGCATGTAACTCAAACTGCAGCCTTTAGAAAATATTATTCAGTGATCACCTCGGAGGAAGAAGGCCGTTTGAATCCAAAAAATTTAGGATCTGAACTTGTGGGTCTCTTTGTGGAAGCCACTCCAAACAATTATTTGGACTTTCTGCAGCTAAACCTTTCAAGTCTGGCGTTTCCGGAGGAAGATGTGCCTGCAATAGTTAAGTTGGAAAAACAAATTACTACTAGACATCCCCTTGCAACTATATATATATATATAATGTACAGTTATCTCCTTGCAACTATATATATATATATGATGTACAGTTATAATGTTCCGTGTATATCTCTTCTTTCTTATAAGGATTTCAATTTATATAACCATGTTTATTGTAAAGTCCAGCATAATTTACTTACATGTGAAGTTGATGGTGTGCTCGGAGAATTATGATTATACTTCTCTTCCAAAAGTTGCCGCTGTTTTCATAAATTTTATAAGTCCATTATTTATCTGCTGCAGCCATTCAAAATTAATACAACTCAACAAGGAATAGACCTTACCTTGCGCAGGCGAACTTGTTTCAAAGTTTCCTCAAGGATTTGAGCTCGGTACTCGATTTCATACGAGGTTGTTATTTCAGATGGATCACTTTCAAAGATCCTTGAAAATTTGGTTGATTAGTAAAGAAACATTTGAGAAAATTTCTTCTTCCAACAAATGATGAAAAAGTTGTGGGTTTTTTTTTTCTTATCTCTAGCTAATACTTTAGCCTAAAGTAAATGGTACCTTAGTCGTTTCTCCATATTCTGTATCTGAGACCTATACTTACGAATTTCTTGTTGAATATCCTGTAATTCATCCATTTGAAGTGGTTCACCATAACAATTAAACGATAAAATGATAATAAGTAGCAGGATGGAAATAGAATTCATGCATGAAAATACCTCGATGTGGGAATGAACCGTCATTGGGTTACTTTGAATAAAGTAACCAAAACAAAAGAAAAAAAAGAAAAATGAGGGTCTCGTTAATTAGAAAAGTCAATTTCGTAAATTAACGGAACTTGAAATTATAGTGCAAATTAATTTCATAAGCAGGAAAGTAGGCAGGTGCAATATACAAGTTCAAGAGAAAAACATGCTGGGTAGGTAACATTAAGAAATCAAGGAACAATTCAAACCTGGCTTCTTGATATGTTTGATTTGCCTCACCCATCAACTTACCAACAGCTCTTTGTAGAAACTGAAAACCCAAGAAAATCCAACTTTATACACTACTCGGGTGGGTGACAAGTCTATACGATTATATTTGGAGTGTGCCTATTACCTCTTGATTATGCAGTCTTCTTAAGGTTTCATCATGGTATACGTACACAAGTAAATTACCCACATCAAAATATGAAGAAAAATCCATATAAAATAAATAAACAAAAAAAGAAAAGAAAACTGGCTAGGTATGTCTCAGTTCCGATTATAAGATCGTTACCTTCCTCGCTCATGCTCTGGAAGATTGACATAACGAGCCAAAATTTCCTCAATGCTTAAACAAACACAAAAAGAAAGCAATTTTAGTTACGGAGAGATACAGCAATTTAGGTTAAATCCAATTGATCCTTCACAAAGCTGTCAAATAACATTAACAATAGAATTGGATATATATGGTTTATACTCGTATAGCAGACCTTTTGTTTCCAGAAAAAAGACTGACTCTTCCAGATGGGGAGAACATGATGAGAGCTACATCAACATCACAGAGGACAGAAAGTTCATAAGCTTTCTTTATAAGACCATTTCTCCTTTTTGAGAAAGTGACTTGCCTATTAGTTGTATTTTCAATCCTCTTGATCTGGAGCTTCACTCTTCCCATGTCTTTCTAATTTTAAGAGAGAAATCTACACCCGTTTAACTTTTGAGATGATTGATTGCAAGTTGGGAATTAAAGTGGTTTGGTCTGAATATTGGAGAAGGATCATGTTCATCACTCCCCACACATATATATATAATTCAAAATATATAGTTAATGAAAGAAGAGGATACAAGCAAGAAGGAAGAAGGAAATACACATGTTATAATTTTGTCATTGTTAGGCCATTCAAAGAAGATGACATGAGAGAGACAAGGCGGCGTGATTAAGGCCAGATTGATGTATCTCATTATTCCAAAGCGGATTTGCATATCAGTATCTCAATGTATAGAGAGCAGGGAATCCTTTCCTTTTCTTTATCATTATAATTTCTGGTTTCTTCTTCTAAGAAGATTCTCAATCAACGATTTGTAAGTTGAACTATTAGGGCTAGATGATTTTTGACTTTATTGCCATTACCTAATTGGGTGTTAGGTGACTGATTTAGAATAATTAGGTGTTAATTCGGTGAAGATTCATTTGTAACATTAATTTACTTTTTTAATGTTCAATGGGAGACGAATCAATCATACAATTGGATAGCCTTACCACTATATTATGAAAACGATGTTGAAGAGAGTAAACAGTTAAGAGAGGATAAAAAAAAAAAAAAAAGAGATAACAGAAAATTTAAGAAGGATGCATAAATACTTGTGATGATTGTAGATGTATCGTATTGCTTTTCTGTTTTGCCGAGCGTCGGAAAGAGTCGATTTACTAATGCAAAATCCATTCTTTGTTCGGCGTTGAAATAGCCGATGTCCATGGTCAGCTAGCTTGAATTGAACCGACGATGAACATAGGATTGCCAAAGAGAGAAGTCGGAGGCTTCAATTCGTCACTAGATACTTATCAACTGCATCAATTTTGATAATGAATCTTTGGAATATACTATTTTGGTTTCTCAGAATCGCATCAAAAAGAGGCGTTATACAACTAGAGCTCTAGCATTTGCATATATATATTCAGCTTAAATATTTAAATTAATGTGATTTCAAGATAATAATTTAATAGAACCAGATATCCAAAATCTTAACAGTAACCTGTTGTAAATAGATCATAAAACATTAGACGTGTGGAAACTGAAAACCATGGAATAAAAAACAAAGCATCTTTCATTATTTGATGTGTTCGAGGTATGATGTGCGGCAGTGTGTTTGTGAGGGTCCCACGTAGCACACGGTATTTTACTTTCAGTTGTGTCTTTAGGCGAGGTTGACGAAGACGGTTGCCTGCCACTTGCAACGTGTCAATAGTTTTCGATGCTGTATCTGATACTATTTTGCATGAATGGCCACTCCCACGTGGGTCTCTCGGCCCTCCACTACTGTCTTTTTCGAGCCGAGCCGGCTCCACGGACGATAAAAAGCTCATTTAGAGTTCGGCTCGATAAGACTCGGTTCGACTCGACTCGAACTCGGTTCGTTAACCGAGTCGAGCTCGAACACAGTGAAGCTCGGCTCGTGGGCTCACGAGCCAGGCTCGGTTCGATTAAGCACTGTACACTTCACAAGGTGTTTTGGTGATTTTTTAAACTATTAGTTATTAAACCGATATTTTCCAGTGAAAAAGTTTTAAAAAATGATAGTTTCCCCCTCAAAGTGCAAATTTGAAATAACACAATAACGAGCTCGTGAGCCCAACTCGCGAGCCGGTTTGAGCTCGACTCGAGCTTGAGCTCGAGTCTTAATTTTGAGGCTCGCCAGGGTCGACTCGAGCTCGACACTGTTGTAAATGAGCCGAGCTCGATAAGCCAAAAGCTTGGCTCGGCTCGGCTCGTTTACACCCCTATATATCACTGCTTAACTGCGATCTTGTTCAAAGGAAATGGGTCCACCGTTTACATAGAGGTTTCCTTTTCACTTGTAATGTTGTGTTTAATTTTGTGAAAGATAAATGTTTCTTTTGTCGGTCTTTGCTTGGGAACCAGACATATCCATCAATTAGTGTGTGAATTTACTGGGCTTTCTCTAGCGATCTTGCAAACAGATTTGGGCTCCAAATGCTAGGCCCGGATTCAAATTAAGGGCGATGATAAATAGTCCATATGCTATTCCATTTAAAATAGACAGTATGTTATAGTAAATATATTTAAGAAAGTTTATATTTTATTAAAAATATTTAATATAGTAAAGTAGAGTGTTGTAGTAAGCTTTGTGATAATAGTATAAACTAATATGATTTATTGATGAAATTTTGATGAATTAAATCAAAAAATTAGAATGGCGATTTTGTTTTTGTAAAATCAATAGCTGTTAGCAGCCATCATCATTTTACAAAGTAATAAAACAGATTAGTGTAATTAACAAGAAAAACAGGCGATTGGCCCTCAAAGCCAATTGGGCTGACCCAAGTACCCTTACACAACTTACAAGTTACACCTAACATTCAAAAACTAGCCATTCAATTCCCCGCCACCGCTCACAACAATAACTGCAAGTTGAAACACACCTCTAATAAACCTACTAGTCTTCTCTCCTAATTCATCATCTTCGCCAGAAACACTGACTCTTGTTGTTATATCTCTTTCTACCCAAAGACACACATCATCAGCCATGTTAAGGCCAGTTCTTGCTCCTCCTATTAGGCATCGTCAGCGGTGGCAAGAGAGCTGGGCACGCTTGATAGCCCCTTTGACCTTATGGATATGTGGCATGTATAATTTGTGATTTTCTCCTCCGATTTCTCTCGAATTAACTATTCAATGCATTTTTACCTTTTTCCTTTTTGCAGTTACTGTGAGTCTAAGATATGGTTACTATGGGGATTATCGCATGGTGCTTGGACCCAGTTCATCAAGATTGATGAAAGCAAGTTCTGTGTTTGTAAAGCAGGTTGAAGTGAGAGATGATGACAGGAAAGGGGTTCTTCTTTATGGGTTTTCTGAGAAGCCTGAATTGAGGTTGGAAACCAATTGGAGCGTTTCAAAGTTTTTGATTGTTGGATCTTACAGTCGCAAGGTGACATTTATGTTTCTTGAAATTTATTTATTGCTTTGTATTTCCCCAAGAATTGAAAATTAATAAAGTTAGATCTATATTATTAGGGGTTTTCTTTGTGGTTGAACAAAGGCTCCAGAATCCATATGAGATTGGACACTCAGAGTACAAGTCTAAATCAACTCCAAGTGGTTATGATTAAGGGTAAGTTAGTCTACTTTCTTGGAATTTTAATAATAATTCTCTCATGAATTTTACGGTATAACAAATGTTTACATGATTCTCTAGGAGAACGAAAATTTCAAACATTGCTGCCCAAACTCACCAGTTCCTCAGAATCATTTGCCCTTACTGACACAATAACTGGTATGATTCTGTTTTTTCAATTTTTTCGTTTTTTTTTTTTTATTAATAAGAATTATCAACTTTATATTATATGATTAAAATTAAAATGAAATATAAACAAAAATATTTAAAATTCTTTATACTAAAAATAATGTATTAAAATTAAAAAGAGATATGAACAAAAATGCAATTTTATTTTTTATGATTAAATGAATAATATGTTGTAAAAATATTTGAATACCGCGCCAGATAGGGGTCGAACCTATGACCTTCTGCTTAGGAAACAGACGCTCTATCCACTGAGCTACAGGCGCTTTACAGTTTCCTCGCCGAAAACGTTTTATAAATAAATACTTACAAAACTCTTATTGCCTTGTCCATTTATGGAGTTTTTTTTTCTTTTTTTAAAGTTGATCGATAATATAATTGTTAGAGAAGCAAAGGTTCTGCTTAACTTTGACCTTTATGATCAATATCACTAATTCCTGTCATTTAGCTAGCACTGTTACTGGAAAGCACACCAGTAATAGAAAAGAAAATGCCAAATTAAAATGAGAAGAATGCTACATATGTAAGATAGTTGAAACTCGAAAGTATCTATTAATATTTTAACTATATCTAATGCATTTTTTTTTCAGGTAAAGTTGCTGAATACACTATTGAAGAAGATGACAGGTACTATATTGGTGTCCTTAACACAAATCCCAAAAGTATAATAATGCCAATGAGTGTAAATGTTACATCCAAATTGTATGATCTAACGAAAGCAAAGAACGTCTGTTCAACATTAAAGGGATCATGCCGGCTCCAACTCTTGTTTCCCAATACTCATTATGTCATACTAACAACACCCAACAATGTAAGGCCTCATTTTTATTTCCCACCATTGTAGTTTGCTCAACTTCCCTGAAACTTTAATCTTAATCAAAAAATTTATTGCAGGGGGATCTAGATGGATGGTATGTTGAACTATCTTTTGTTGCTCGAGTGATAACCTACATAGCAATTTTAGGTACAACATAAGATACAAATATCATTTGATGCTTCTACTCTCTTTACAATATCTGAAACCAAGTCTATAGCCTGAAATTTTTTATGTTTGTTTGTAGGATTTATCATAATGGTTATTTTTCTGATATTGAAATACCTTGGAGCTTGCGATGTTGAGGAGGATAACTTAGGAGATACAGCGATAAGGGAAATATCTGAGACTGACCCTATAATACCTGAGAAGCCAGTTCAATACACGTATGGAACAAATGAAGAAGATGATGATGGAGGATCGTCTAGCAGCTCTTCGGAGGATTTGTATGATGCAAAATTATGTGTTATTTGTTACGATGACCAACGAAACTGCTTCTTTGTTCCATGTGGGCACTGTGCAACCTGCTATGACTGTGCTCAGAGGTATATGTGCACAAAAGGACCTTCAGACATGTTCTCTTTTGTAGTAAACTCTTCAGAGATTTTAATAATATGTGTTTTTTGCAGGATTATGGAGGAGGATAGTAAGATGTGTCCAATATGTCGCAGGCTTATTCACAAAGTTAGAAGATTGTTTACCCCGTAGAGCTAAAATGAGCTAGGAAAATTGTGTGATTGTGTTTGAGAAGAAATTTGATGTGAGTAGAGTGTAAAGGATTTTTTTTTCCCTGGATAGAGTGAGTGCTTTTATTTTTTCGCACTTGAGTCCCTAGCTCAGTTTCCCAAATTACCAATTGGTTATTTACTTTTTTGGATCAAGCTACAAGGTGATGGACGACTGACTGAAGGTGGTGAAATATCTTGGCAGCGCAAGGATAAACAGACTTCTCTGTTCAAAGAATTAAGGTGTTAATTAGGTGTTCATGAAATTGGAAAAGGGTATCAATGGTCTTGTAACGCATCTTTGTGACATTGTCACTAATTTGTTATCAGAGAAGATTGAAATTTGTCCAATGTGTACTCCATTTGTAAAAGGGTTTCAATCACTTCCAGAGAAATTATCTAGTACTTTATATTCTTTACTCTAGTAGAAGAAATTTTTCCTCCAAAATGGACACCTGAATGTGAAAACATATTGCTTTTACTGAAAAGGAAGTAATTGATATTTTCGTCTATTATTAGTGAAACTCGGATGCCATGACAGTTTACAGATAACAACTGTACTCCTAACCCAAAGATAATAAACGAAAATGAAAATAACATTGTCGCTTCTCCTCTGCCCTGTTCTGCTCTGTTCAGGTTGGTGATTTCCCTTGAATGTCAAATGACCAGGATTTACCAAATGGCGAATTTAAATTTATTTTTGTCATGTACAAGTGGACAAATATATTCTTTGAAACCTATTATGATGTTGCCAAGGTCCGCTCCTAGAAATTCCAAAACTTTGAAGTCATAGGAATATTTTTGAGTACAATTATGATAAAAGCAATAAATGAATAAGGCCAACCGTTCAGCGAAATTCATCAAATACCAAAAGGTACAAATGCTTAATACAGAGGCAACATAACAAATATCGCATAGGTGAAATTCCTAAATGAAGAATTGAAGGTACTGTAATTAATTTCAATATGTCCGGCCAGGATCCCAGGTCATTGTCTAATGAGTGATGCTATGGGTACTAATGGATGGGTACTAATCTGTGTACTAACTAAAGCATGGTACCTATACTATGCGCATAGTACGGGTACTATGCTTTAGTTAGTACACAGATTAGCACCCATCCATTAGTACCCAAAGTATTATTCTTGTCTAATTATCCCCAGCCTCTACACTTGGATTTGTCGGCACATCAGTGCGAAATTTGGATGGATTTACGAGTGAAAGAATAAAAACCCGTCCAAAGTGAGAGACATACATGTGAATTTGCAAAGAAAATCCATTTATCTTCCTCTATATAGATTACATGAATATTGTTGATAGAATTAGACCACAGTTGGTATCAGCAGAATTTCCATGGATATCATATTCTATTACGGCTTGTTTCTCTTGCTCTTGTATTTCCTTCAAAAATATTTCCTCCAAATTAAAAGAAACCTCCCACCAAGTCCTCCTTTGTCCCTACCCATAATAGGCCATCTCTACCTTTTAAAGAAACCTCTTCATCGAACCCTGGCCAAACTATCCCATCAATATGGTTCTATTCTGTTAATCAGGTTCGGCTCTCGCCGGGTAATCCTTGTATCTTCCCCTTCTGCTGCAGAGGAATGCTTCACCAAAAACGACATCATTTTTGCCAACCGCCCTCACCTCCTTGCGGGGAAGCACCTTGGCTATGATTATACCACCCTTGTTTGGGCCTCATATGGCCATCATTGGCGCAACTTAAGACGCATAGCTTCAATTGAAATCTTGTCATCTAATCGCCTACAGATGTTTTATGGCATCCGTCTTGACGAGGTCAGGCTATTGTGTAAAAGGCTTTTTCGAGGGTCAAAGGGCGAACAGCATCAGACTGTAAACATGAAATCCATGTTTTTCGAGATGACTCTAAATGTTATGATGAGGATGATTGCTGGCAAACGATATTATGGAGAGAATATAGCAGAATTGGAGGAAGCAAAAAAATTCAAAGAAATTTTGACCGAGACCTTTCGCTTGAGTGGGGCTACTAATATTGTAGATTTTTTGCCGTTTCTGAACTGGGCTGGATCGAATAAGGTTGAAAAGAGTTTAGTAATATTGCAGAGAAAGCGAGATAAGTTCATGCAGGATTTGATTGAAGAGCACCGGCAAATTAGGAATAGCTTTGCTTCTCCAGAGAGGAGTAAGACCATGATCGATGTGCTATTATCACTACAAGAAAATGAGCCAGAATACTACACAGATAATATTATCAGAGGCATGATGCAAGTAAAATTTCTTTCTCTATATCTCGGGTAATAGAAAAGAAAATGCCAAATTAAAATGAGAAGAATGCTACATATGTAAGATAGTTGAAACTCGAAAGTATCTATTAATATTTTAACTATATCTAATGCATTTTTTTTTCAGGTAAAGTTGCTGAATACACTATTGAAGAAGATGACAGGTACTATATTGGTGTCCTTAACACAAATCCCAAAAGTATAATAATGCCAATGAGTGTAAATGTTACATCCAAAATGTATGATCTAACGAAAGCAAAGAACGTCTGTTCAACATTAAAGGGATCATGCCGGCTCCAACTCTTGTTTCCCAATACTCATTATGTCATACTAACAACACCCAACAATGTAAGGCCTCATTTTTATTTCCCACCATTGTAGTTTGCTCAACTTCCCTGAAACTTTAATCTTAATCAAAAAATTTATTGCAGGGGGATCTAGATGGATGGTATGTTGAACTATCTTTTGTTGCTCGAGTGATAACCTACATAGCAATTTTAGGTACAACATAAGATACAAATATCATTTGATGCTTCTACTCTCTTTACAATATCTGAAACCAAGTCTATAGCCTGAAATTTTTTATGTTTGTTTGTAGGATTTATCATAATGGTTATTTTTCTGATATTGAAATACCTTGGAGCTTGCGATGTTGAGGAGGATAACTTAGGAGATACAGCTATAAGGGAAATATCTGAGACTGACCCTATAATACCTGAGAAGCCAGTTCAATACACGTATGGAACAAATGAAGAAGATGATGATGGAGGATCGTCTAGTAGCTCTTCGGAGGATTTGTATGATGCAAAATTATGTGTTATTTGTTACGATGACCAACGAAACTGCTTCTTTGTTCCATGTGGGCACTGTGCAACCTGCTATGACTGTGCTCAGAGGTATATGTGCACAAAAGGACCTTCAGACATGTTCTCTTTTGTAGTTAACTCTTCAGAGATTTTAATAATATGTGTTTTTTGCAGGATTATGGAGGAGGATAGTAAGATGTGTCCAATATGTCGCAGGCTTATTCACAAAGTTAGAAGATTGTTTACCCCGTAGAGCTAAAATGAGCTAGGAAAATTGTGTGATTGTGTTTGAGAAGAAATTTGATGTGAGTAGAGTGTAAAGGATTTTTTTTTCCCTGGATAGAGTGAGTGCTTTTATTTTTTCGCACTTGAGTCCCTAGCTCAGTTTCCCAAATTACCAATTGGTTATTTACTTTTTTGGATCAAGCTACAAGGTGATGGACGACTGACTGAAGGTGGTGAAATATCTTGGCAGCGCAAGGATAAACAGACTTCTCTGTTCAAAGAATTAAGGTGTTAATTAGGTGTTCATGAAATTCGAAAAGGGTATTAATGGTCTTGTAACGCATCTTTGTGACATTGTCACTAATTTGTTATCAGAGAAGATTGAAATTTGTCCAATGAGTACTCCATTTGTAAAAGGGTTTCAATCACTTCCAGAGAAATTATCTAGAACTTTATATTATTTACTCTAGTAGAAGAATTTTTCCCTCCAAAATGGACACCTGAATGTGAAAACATATTGCTTTTGCTGAAAAGGAAGTAATTGATATTTTCTTCTATTATTAGTGAAACTCGGATGCCATGACAGTTGACAGATAACAACTGTACTCCTAACCTAAAGATAATAAACGAAAATGAAAATAACATTGCTGCTTCTCCTCTGCCCTGTTCTGCTCTGTTCAGGTTGGTGATTTCCCTTGAATGTCAAATGACCAGGATTTACCAAATGGCGAATTTAAATTTATTTTTGTCATGTACAAGTGCACAAATATATTCTTTGAAACCTATTATGATGTTGCCAAGGTCCGCTTCTAGAAATTCTAAAACTTTGAAGTCATAGGAATATTTTTGAGTACAATTATGATAAAAGCAATAAATGAATAAAGCCAACCGTTCAGCGAAATTCATCAAATATCAAAAGGTACAAATGCTTAATACAGAGGCAACATAACAAATATCGCATAGGTGAAATTCCTAAATGAAGAATTGAAGGTACTGTAATTAATTTCAATATGTCCGGCCAGGATCCCAGGTCATTGTCTAATGAGTGATGCTATGGGTACTAATGGATGGGTACTAATCTGTGTACTAACTAAAGCATGGTACCTATACTATGCGCATAGTACGGGTACTATGCTTTAGTTAGTACACAGATTAGCACCCATCCATTAGTACCCAAAGTATTATTCTTGTCTAATTATCCCCAGCCTCTACACTTGGATTTGTCGGCACATCAGTGTGTAATTTGGATGGATTTACGAGTGAAAGAATAAAAACCCGTCCAAAGTGAGAGACATACATGTGAATTTGCAAAGGGAATCCATTTATCTTCCTCTATATAGATTACATGAATATTGTTGATAGAATTAGACCACAGTTGGTATCATCAAAATTTCCATGGATATCCTATTCTATTACGGCTTGTTTCTCTTGCTCTTGTATTTCCTTCAAAAATATTTCCTCCAAATTAAAAGAAACCTCCCACCAAGTCCTCCTTTGTCCCTACCCATAATAGGCCATCTCTACCTTTTAAAGAAACCTCTTCATCGAACCCTGGCCAAACTATCCCATCAATATGGTTCTATTCTGTTAATCAGGTTCGGCTCTCGCCGGGTAATCCTTGTATCTTCCCCTTCTGCTGCAGAGGAATGCTTCACCAAAAACGACATCATTTTTGCCAACCGCCCTCACCTCCTTGCGGGGAAGCACCTTGGCTATGATTATACCACCCTTGTTTGGGCCTCATATGGCCATCATTGGCGCAACTTAAGACGCATAGCTTCAATTGAAATCTTGTCATCTAATCGCCTACAGATGTTTTATGGCATCCGTCTTGACGAGGTCAGGCTATTGTGTAAAAGGCTTTTTCGAGGGTCAAAGGGCGAACAGCATCAGACTGTAAACATGAAATCCATGTTTTTCGAGATGACTCTAAATGTTATGATGAGGATGATTGCTGGCAAACGATATTATGGAGAGAATATAGCAGAATTGGAGGAAGCAAAAAAATTCAAAGAAATTTTGACCGAGACCTTTCGCTTGAGTGGGGCTACTAATATTGTAGATTTTTTGCCGTTTCTGAAGTGGGCTGGATCGAATAAGGTTGAAAAGAGTTTAGTAATATTGCAGAGAAAGCGAGATAAGTTCATGCAGGATTTGATTGAAGAGCACCGGCATATTAGGAATAGCTTTGCTTCTCCAGAGAGGAGTAAGACCATGATCGATGTGCTATTATCACTACAAGAAAATGAGCCAGAATACTACACAGATAATATTATCAGAGGCATGATGCAAGTAAAATTTCTTTCTCTATATCTCTCGCAACCTAAATTTGAAAATAATAATAATAACAACTAAAAACACCATTCCTAGTCTAAAGAGTTCACTGAACTGAAACAACTTGAAAAAAGGGAGATTTTTTTTTTAAACCAAATGGAATGGAACGGATTTGACTGATGCTCCCATAGCATTACTTGGCCCAACAAAAGGTTCAAACACAAATATATTTCGGTAATTTCTTATATAATGGACTGCTAACTTTGAAAAACAAACATTTTTTTGGTTAAATTTTAATTTCCCAATGCACAATAAAAAGCAAATGGCATGATTATGTTTTCAGGTCATGTTATCAGCAGGCTCTGATACCTCAGCTGGAACTATGGAATGGGCACTGTCAAATTTGCTAAACAATCCAAAGATCATTCTACATACTCAGGAAGAAATTGACACAAACGTGGGGCAAAGTAGGCTAACTGGGGAATCAGATATCGCCAAATTTCCATATCTCTATGGCATTATGAAAGAAACCCTCCGAATGTACCCAGTTGCTCCAGTACTAGTACCACATGAGTCATCAGAAGAGTGCAGTATAGGAGGTTTTCACGTCCCGGGTGGCACAATGTTATTGGTGAACATGTGGGCCATTCAAAATGACACTAACTTATGGGAAGAGCCGTCAAAATTCAAGCCAGAGAGATTTCAAGGACTGAAAGAAGAAAGGGATAAGTACATGTTGTTGCCATTTGGAGCCGGGAGGAGGGGGTGTCCTGGGGAGGGATTGGCGATGAGGATTTTTGGGTTGGCGTTAGGAACATTGATTCAGTGCTTTGAATGGAAAAGAGTTGGTGAGGAGATGGTGGACATGAGTGAAGGTACTGGGCTTACCATGCCCAAAGCTCAACCTCTGTTTGCAATGTGTAGGCCACGCCCAGTTATGACGAAACTCCTTTCCCAACTCTAAGTGCTCTCGTTTGCGCTCACGTATTATCATGTTTTTTCTTAATGAAATTGTCAAATTTTGACGATACAATGCATTATGTACAAGGCACTTTCTTGTTTGAACTTTTTTTTTCCCACTTCTAATATTTAGATGATTCCCTTTCCAAATCTTTCTTAACTGATACGAATAAATCTCAAATCTAATTCTTGCTAATATCTTTTCAAGAATACAATTCACCGCAATTGAAGAATGCCATACAAAATTACAAATTATATATATTCACTAAGAGATGATTTTTTTATGAAGGTACAACTTAGTTACCTACAAATATTCTAAGCTAATTAATTCTCTGAGATATTAATGACATTATGTTATGTTAATGTTTGTTTAAGTAGAACTGGAGCAAAAGTGACCTATCAGTAACCATGAGAGACCTATCAATAACCATGAGAGGCTGAATTGTCAGTTTAATTTTCTTGAGTACCAAAAAAACTGTTTCCACAGTGTGTAGCTGGGTTTGTTTCAATTTTAGAATATTAATCCAATTATAAATACGTCTTTGTTATTAGCTACTAATTAAAAAAACTTTTTCTTTTCCCACCCAAATAACGCCGTAATAACATTTTTCCACTCACATACTAAAATACTATTCAAATTTATATTCTGGTGACGAATAGAGAGTAAACTCGATCTAGATTATTAGGGCTTTTGAAAAGGAGATGTCGATAAGTCCTTTGGTGATAAAATGTTAGATTTTATTGGTTGGAATTAATAAGAATTTGACTTAAGAGAGGCAGTTACGTAAACCCTAATTACTCGATTAGCGGGGTCAACAGAAGTAGGGTTTAAGGGATTTTAGTAAGTGATAATCGGATAAGAGAATGATGATGGTTTGAGATTACAATAATACTGGAATAGGAAATAAAATATAAATTTAGATAATAAAATTATACCGGTCGTTTACTCTTAAAAAAAATAAAAAAAAAATGTTCCGAGTCTTTTAAACGGCCACTGATAAGACATTAAACCTACCAATTTGATTAGGGGTCTAATTTGAATCGATTTACCCCTCTCTTTCTGTGTACGCAGTTGCCACTAGGATTTTGTCGCATGAAAATTCAGAAGCCATTTGGTTTATAGTCCTATTAGCTGATATAGTGGCGTTTGTGATGACGATATCATGTTTCTTCCTTTCACGTACCAAACTTCTTTACGATTAGCCTTCTATCACTTTCATTTCTTTTGGCAACTATTCATGCACATAAAAATCTACACAAAGTTCAGCTATAAATATCAGATCAACTCAGGATTCTTTAATCCATCATAAAAACAAAAGTATATACTCCATCCATCAGCATCCAGCCCATCAATACAATGCTTCTAATTATGCAGCACTTTCTTGTATTCTTAGTCCTTTACGTGATCACAAGTAACTTCCTCAACAAGCTTCGAAAAATACCACCAAGTCCATCCCCTCTCTTCCCATAATAGGCCACCTTTACCTCCTCAAAACCCCCTCTTCACCGAACTCTCTCCAAAATCTCAAACCGATACGGCCCCATACTTCTCCTTCATTTTGGTTCTCGCCCTGTTCTCGTTGTCTCTTCCCCTTCCGCAACCGAAGAATGTCTCACCAGAAACGACGTTGTTTTTGCCAACCGCCCTCAACTTCTTGCCGGCAAATATCTAGGCTACGATTTTGCCAGCGTGTCTTGGGCTCCACTGGGAAATCATTGGAGAAACTTACGTAGAATCTCGTCCCTTGAAATTCTTTCCGCCGGTCGTCTCCAAATCCTATCCAGCATAAGGGTTGACGAGGTGACGTTGCTGATTCGTCGGCTTTTTAGTGATGAAAATCAAACGGTGGAAATGAAATCTGTTTTCTTTGAGCTTACGCTCAATGTGATGATGAGAATGATAGCAGGGAAGAGATACTACGGTGACAATGTGGCGGGAGTTGAGGAGGCAAAGAAGTTTAAAGAGATTGTGGAGGATACATTTCGTTATGGTGGTGCATCGAATATGGTAGATTTCTTGCCAGTGTTGAGCTGGTTTGGGATTGGAGGCACGGAGAAGAAGTTGAAGGAGTTACATGTAAAGAGAGAGAGTTTTGTACAAAATTTGATAGAAGAATATAGAACAAATGCGGAGATGGTCGAGTTATGATTCAGATGACTCCAAGAAGAAAACCTTCATTGAAGTTTTGTTGTCTTTGCAAGAGAAGGAACATCACAATTATAAGATGAAACTATAAAACCTCATGCTGGTATTTTTTTTTTTTAATTAGTATGCTCTCTTTCTTTTTTCATTATAACGTAATTTTTTTTTTTTTAAATGTTAATAAAGAATTATCATAAACGGTGGCATCAGGCATGTCATGCCAATCTACAGAAAGTAACATAAAGACGTTTCCTCCACAACTCTACTTAATATATATAGATACAATCTAATTTCTATAACTCAATTCATCATTAATTCCCCTGCATGAATTTTCTTCTTTCTCAGGCTTTATGCAGCGGAACTGATACTTCAGCAGCCACCATGGAGTGGGCTATGTCCCTTCTACTAAACTCCGAAAATTTTGCGAAAGCACAAGATGAATCGACAATCACATTGGACATGATCGTCTATAGCTGAATCAGATTTGTCTCAGCTTCCTTATCTCACTGCATCATATATGAAACCTGGCGCATGTACCCAGCTGGGCCGTTGCTAGTACCTCATGAAACTTCGGAGGAGTGCATGGTCGGAGGCTTCCGTGTACCACGTGGAACATGTTATTGGTTAATTGTGGCCATACATAATGATCCTAGGATTGGGAGGATCCCGCAGAATTCAAGCCAGAGAGATTTGAAGGCTTCCAAGGGGTGAGAGATGGGTTCAATTGATGCCTTTTGGGTGAGGAAAGAATTGTCCAGGGTACCCTAGCCACCCGAATTGTTGGGCTGGCATTGGGCTCACTGATTCAATGCTATGACTGGAGAGGGTTAGTGAAGACATGGTGGACATGACTGAGGGGACTGGTCTCACATTGCCAAAGGCACAGCCCTTGCAGGCCAGTGTCGACCACGCCCAATCATGGTCAACCTTATTCTCAAATATGATTTAACTTGGACCAACCCATTTATTGTTGTTTCTAAAGTATAGGCTAGGAATATGAGTATCTCATGAACCAGAATAAGATGGAGTTCCTGGTAGGAACCTTTGTTTAGTAGTGTCTGTTTGTCTTTTATTTATATATGTATTTTTATGTTATGTATTCATAAAAGCATGTTACGATGAGATGAGCAAAGCGTTTATTGACTTTTACTGTTTACAAATTACATGTATGGGTCTCAACATAGTTTGTTTCCTATTTTATATCCTTTTCATAAAACAAGATAATTAGTTCCCCGCTAATGTATGACTTGACAGGATGTAAAGCTGCTAAAGCACTTAAACCGACATATACTTTAGCTAGACGATGTTATTACTTTTGTTATGCCTGGAAGTAAGGGCTACGTGGGAGGTCCACGTGGAGAATGATCTGCTCCCATCAGAACAACAAACACACGTCATGCCTACCAAACGATATGGAGCTCCCACGCGTCCATTTTCCTGCAGTAACCGTGCGAAGTCAGCTGGGGAGAAGGTGATGGGACATAAAGCCGGATTATATCCTGACAATCACACCAACCCAAGGATTTAATGATATTACACGCTTCAGCTTGATATAAGAAGAAAGACCCCTTCATTAAGGGGATTCGACCATTTTTACAAAATCAGTCTCTCTCTCCCTCCTGAAAACCACCATTTACTTTTTCCTAAACCTCTTGTAAGTCAGTCCGCTGTTGCGACCTGACCCACACTCACTATCAATACAAACAGTGGACGTAGGACGCTACCTTAGCATCCGAACCACTTTAAAAACTCTCACATCATTTATTTCTCTTTATTTCATTTTCACGTGTGCTTTTTGACAATCAACGTTGCCCACGTATGTTAGTTGGTGCCCAAAATCCCGCATCAACAGTTTGGCGCTAGAAGGAGGGCCTGATTTAGTGTCTACCTTCATCAGGAAATCTTTGACCCACTGGTCCTACAACAGCAAATGGCCCGCCAATTTGAGCCAGAGCGAGCTAATCAGCGTACTGAAGAGTTCCAGTTTCACAAAATGCTGCGGGGGATGTCCCCAGCTCCACAACTTGACCCTGCCATTAGAAACTACCTGGAGAAGTTCGACAATACTCTCCAGACGGTCAACCAAGGGGACCGTTTGGACCAAGGCATTTCATCTACCACAGCTAGGGCGGTACAACCTCCAAAGACGCCTGCAGGTCGCGCGAAAGCCCGGCAAAGGGCAATAGCCCGTGCCGCGAGCACTGCAGCGCGTAAGCGCAAGGGTAAGCAAGTGGCAAAATAAGCCTACGGGCTCCCAAGAACCAGCGAACACAAAAGTGCCCCAAGCAGGGTATCGGCAAAGCTGAGACTCGGCGAAAGGGTGAATCCCAGCTGTCCTGCCACGTCGCAGGCAAAACCCAAGCGAAAATGCTGGCGCGATGATTCCTATCACCACCAGCAGAACGACCCCGATCGTTATATGCGGTGGCCCCCACACCTCGTGGGGCATTCGTACCACCGCGAGGGCCGTGAAAATGCCCGCACAATCCACCGCCTTCACACGCCTCTAGTCAGTGTGTGTCGAGTACGCCGGAAATGTCGGCCGAGGCGAGGAGGTATCCGACCTCCGGACCTTTCTGAACCGCAATCGAGAAGGCCAGACTCGCACAGGTGAAAGCAATCCCCAATTGGCTCCGTTACCACAAATTGAGGAGCTACAGCGAGCTCTGGATAGGTTGAGGGAGCGGCAAACGAACGCACAGGTCGCCTCTGCATCCCCTTTTTCTCCCGAAGTGCTAGCTGCTCCACTCCCACCAGGGTTCAGAATGTCAGATATGCGGCCGTTTGATGGAACTATGATCCTCAGGATCACTTATATGAGTTCAACGACCTGATGGAGCTCCACCAGGTTTCGACCTTGC